AACAGGGAGCCTATATTCCACCACTTTTATTACTGTTTAATAGAACTAAGAATTGCATAACTGAAATCATGCTAATACTCACTTGACCTGCCTCTGTGATTTGATGCAGAGATCTCTGGTTTGTGTTAAACTGCTGGGAAGAAGACTGTTTTGAGAAATAAAATTAATTTTGCACTATCTGCTGATGATCAGCAAGGCTTAATGAATGATTGCCTCAAGAAACCTCATTACAGTAATTTGGATGGATGAGCAGGAGTGAAATGCAAAAAGAAGAAGGTATAGTTGCTGCTTGAATGCATCACTTACTGATATTTGACTCTAAAACTATCCAGAGTCAGCATGGGGAAAGGATCAGATATTCTTGCCCTACTTTCCTTGAAACCTCCAAGTTCGTTTGATGCATTTTGTGAAAAAGAAGATAATTTTTTGGTTTCAGTAGTAGTTACTCTAGCAGAACAATGCAGTCATTTCATTTGTAGAGGTGTGATTGTATCTAGTACATAAATTGTGGGTCATTCCAAATCCATTATTGTACAGTTTTTTTCTTTTTTCTTTACAGTTCAAAGAAGTCATTGCCTTGGGGCTGTGAATTGGGTGATTGCTGATGCCTTTTACTTTTGTAGAATCTACCAGTTAACTCCTTAGCAAAGGTGAGAGTCTTCTGGTCAGCCTGGTTTCAGCTGTTTACATCACAAAACTTATTGGAATCATAGAATCTTTGGGTTGGAAGGGACCTTTTAAGGGCATCTAGTCCAACCCCCCTGCAATGAGCAGGAATATCTTCAACTAGATCAGGTTGCTGAGAACCACATCCAACCTGACCTTGAATGTTTGAGGGGATGGGATGTCTACTACCTCTCTGGGCAACCTGTTCCAGTGTTTCACCACCCTCATTGTGAAAAATATCTTCCTTAGATCTAGTCTAAAACTACCTTCTTTTAGTTTAAAACCATTAGCCTTGTCCTGTTGCAACAGGCCCTGCTAAAAAGTCTGTTCCCATCTTTCTTATAGGTCTCCTTTAAGGACTGAAAGGCCTTAGTAAGACCTCCCTGGAGACTTCTCTTCTCCAGGCTGAACAACCCCAACTCTCTCAGCCTTTCTTCATAGGAGAGGTGTTCTATCCCTCTGATCATTTTGGTGGCCCTCCTCTGGACCCTCTCCAACAGGTCGATGTCTTTCCTGTGCTGAGGGCTCCAGAGCTGGAAGCAGGACTCCAGGTGGGGTCTCACCAGAGGGGCAGAATCATAGAATCATTAAGGTTGGAAAAGACCTCTTAAGATCATCAAGTCCAACCATCAACCCAACATCAACACTAATCCATGTCCTGAAGTGCCACATCTACACATTTTTCTAACACCTCAAAATCACCTTCTGAATCGCCTCCCTCGACCTGCTGACCATCCTTCTTTTGATGCAGCCCAGGGTATGGTTGGCCTTCTGGGCTGTGAACACACATTGCCGGCTCATGTCCAGCTTTTCATCCACCAGTAACCCCAAGTCCTTCTTGGCAGGGCTGCTCTTAATCCCTTCATCCCCCAGCCCGTACTGACACTGGGGTTTGCCCCGACCCAGGAGCAGGACCCTGCACTTAGCCTTGTTGGAGCTCATGAGGTTCACACAGGCCCATTTCTCAAGCTTGTCCAGGTCCCTCTGGATGGCATCCCATTGCTCAGGCGTGTCAACTGCATCACTCAGCTTGGTGTCATCTGCAAACTTGCTGAGGCTGCACTGTTCACATCACAAAACTTCTCTGCAGCTGACACATTATGGTGCTCATTTAAGAGAGACTCAGGAATAAAGTAGGTGGGAAGCAGCAGAAAGCCGAAGTGGAATGGAAATGAAAAATACAAAAACCTTGATAGGTTGACATAAGTTTCTGAACACTTCTATTGTACCATCCATCCTAACCAGCTGTCCAGTTTCAGGGACAGTAGATGTTCTCCAAATACTGTCCTCTGTGCTTGCTTTCATTTAGGGTGATGCAACCATTTAGAGTAATAGAATGATGAACCATTTAGGGTGATAGCACCCTGCAGTTCTTCAAAATAATTGAAAACTGGGCGAGGGGGACAGGACACGTAGTTCTGGCTGCCACTCTCTCCTCTGTTTTGTTTGAGTGAATGGCTGTTCTTCTGACAGAACCTAGGCTTTCATTAGGACCTAAATGTTTTTTCCTCTCTGTGAGGAGATGATTCTGCAGGTGTAAATAACAGCTGTGCAAGGGAAGATTAGGTCTGTGTTGGACTTTCATGTCTATAGTCCATTTTGCATTTTATGTCTTGCTTTAGATTTTTGAAGCAAAACTGTGAAACTGTGAAGTTCTTATAAAAAGCAACGGAGGATGGATGCCAAAATGACAAATAGGGTTTTCTCCCCTGTTTTCCAATTTAGGATTTATCAAAATATGAAAAATTTAGTGAACTCATATTCCAAAATATATTCTTTGTTTTTTTTTTTTCCCAGAAGAAAAAATAACAAAATGTGGACTATGAATTACAAGTTATTTTATTTTCTTAACCGAAGATGAATACTTTTGACATAGTTGATAGCAGATCTCATATACTATTGCCTATAATAACTGTATTTGCTATAGGAGAGTTACTCTGAATTTACTGCTTTGACTTGAGTAAAAATTTGGTCAATTTTTTGGTAAAAAAAGCTGCTAGTATTGAAGATAATCTTTTCCCATGCTTGAAATATCAAGGAAATTTTCTCTGCTTTTTTTTTTAAGGTAATACAGTTTTGATGATGCTTCTCCCAATGCATACATATTGAAGTGCATGCTAAATGAAAATACATAGGCTCAGTGAAATAGAAGTTTAAAGCCCTTAGGGATAACTTCCTCATCTCCATACATCAGGAGATTTCAGGTATTAAATGTTAGATTATATTCTAACAGCATCCAGTGCTTGCTTTTTCATGAGGCTGATGTTTTGGATTTTGTGATCGTAGTTTGGCTAAAACTTTGTCAAACTGAATTCAGCACTGTGTTTCCTAGCTAACCATAATGAGTCAAAACCTGCTGTTTATCCGAAGTCTTGTTGCACTGTTGCTCCTCTACAGCTTAACCAGTAGAGGATGTTAAAATCTGAAATAAAGTTTCCCAAATTCGGTAGGAAGTAGAGGCTGTGTAGGAAGTAGAGGCTGTGCAGCAGAGTAAGAATTGAGCTATAGCATTTTGGTAACACCTGATCTGGATGCTTAATCTGAGGCTGTAAAATATGGCATTGACTGAGAAAGCTGCCATTCAGCTTGGTTAAGGATAGAACTGTTCCTCCAAATTGCTTATCAATTTTCTAGCTTCCTAGAGCATTTTAAAGTAAAGGAATCTAAGCTTTACTGCCAGCCATACTCTGATTTGTTTGTAAGTAATTTAAACTCTTGGTGACTCAGTTTTTTCATCTGTAATTGGGAATAATACTTGTTTTGCTCTTCCTTATGAGACTATTGTGAAGTTTATTTCAATAGTGTTTATAAAGGACTTTGAGATCCTAGATGCCAGATGCCAAAGAAAAACAAAAGGTTATTATTACCATTTTCTATATATGTTTGGTTTTTTTCTTTGATGCTAGCCTTACAAATCACTGCAGTCTTTCATTTAATGAAATTTACCTCAAATAATGACTGTAATAACTGAACAATAATGAAGAATAGAAGGCATTGCTTCCCTCTGAAACCACTGTAATTTTCATAAACCACTCAGAGTCTGGTAAATTATATTCTGCCTAGTCAGTCCACAGAGAGATTAATACTGATTTGTTTTTTGTAAAACATTAGAAAACTTAAACTTTAGGTCATGTGCGTGTGTGTTTATATCTTCAGAACATTAGTCTTCTTTACAAGCTGACAATCCAACAAAATTAGTTATACATTAGAAATTGTGCTTTATTTTCCTAGTGGGCTCTGAACAATTTTTGTTTGATCTTATTTAACATCAAATTCAGGTTGGAAGCCTTTTCTCAGTGTAGTTGATTTGAAGTTTTGCTGAAGAATTAAGCTTTCATTCCCAAAAGACTTCTTAATGCTGTGGTAAATTAAGAGAAGAAACATAGGAACACATGAAAATCAAGGACTTAGTGTATAATACATTCCTGCATCTTTATCACATTTATGTGTGCAAACTGATCATTTACATTTTTTAGTTAAGTTGCCACCATGTGAAACAATGTGCCAATTATGTGTGTCCACGCCCTCACCTGTGTTTTTCTGCTTCTAATAATTGGGTCCTATGTGTACAAAAAATGAGTAATTACACAGCTTTTATAAGTGAGAGGCAAGGTTAAATTCAGCATACTTCACCGAGAGACGATTCAGGGCCATTGTTTCTCTTAGTCTGGTAAAGTGGTGAAGATGGGCTGGAAAGCTGTTGCTGTGTGACTGGAGTGGAGCTTTCAAGCCCAGAAAAGCCTCTGTGGGGTTTCTTCAGCTCTCCGCATTTGTTCCTGTCTTGAGAGTGGTCCTCACCTTCTTATGTGGCTACCCAGTCCCATCACACCCTCCCCATCCTGTGTGCTGGGGATACACACACACCATTGTGATTTAACATGCTGTCCAAAATCTGGGTTTAGTAGCTTTGATGAGCTGCAGAATGATGGATTCATCTCAAGTTTTGAATGTAGAGGTGTGCCAGTTGTTAAATACAACACGTTAGTGAGTGGTGTCACTGTTTCTGCAAAGGCAGCAGGGGTTGTAAGACTGAGCAACTTAAAATGAGGTGGAATGAACACCACTGAGAGAGGCTGGCACTTCTGTGGCCCATATTACCCAAGGACATAAATTTCAGGCATAGATGATCACAATCTGTCCCTTTGCACTTAAAATTACTAAGTCCACTTGAATTTTGGGGGAAATGTTGTGTAAAGTCCTAGTGACAAGATCAGAACTTCACAAGGAGAGAAGAAAAGTTTGACATTCTGGTGCTCAACTATGTGAATTAGGGACTTTTCAGTTAATTTGATTTCTCTCTACAGATACATATGGCTCTTTTCTTTCTGTTACAGAAGCAGCCTACTAAAACAGATATACCTGTTCGACTGTTAAGGTGTGGATGATGGTAGAACAACTGCTAAGCAACAGCATCCTTGATCAATTTATTAATAGCCATGAGCAGTCATATGAAGAGTTTCTAAACACATTCACATATCTTTTGAAAGGTATGTAACCTCCCAAATCTCCCATTAGAAATTACAGCCAGAAGGGAAGGTAAAAAGAGAAGCAGTAGTATTTAGTGTCGTTCTGCTACTCACTTGCTTTGTGACCTTAGGCAAATCTTTATGATGCTTTTGTTTCTCCTATCAGCAGTGGGATCCCTAAGGAACTCTTTCCTTAGCTTGGTTCACAGAATGCTAAGGTAGGTCTCTACAGATGGTTAACCGCTTTTTCCTTGCTTTAGGGAGGTGGGGGAGTGTGCACTGTTTGGAAGGATAGGCTTTTCCTAAGTATGTCCTGCATTGTTTTGCTAGAGAAGTTTCTGTAAAAGAAGAGCCTAAGGAAAGTACTTAATAGTATGAGATGGCCTAAGATTAGGGGTGTGCAATTTGGATACTTTCACAGGTTTACTGCACTGGCTTGCTGTGCTGTGCTGTTGTGTGCACCAAGCCAACAAATAACCTGGATAAAGGCATATCAGGACATCAGATTAGGATGATGAGGCTGAAGAGATCTCATGCTCTGCAGATGAAATAAAACGTGGGACTTAACTTTGGTCTGAGTATTGCTGAATTACAGGCAGTTCAGATCTGGATCCAAATTCTGTTGCTCAGGTTCATTTCTTTTGTCCATGTTAAGTCAGGTGCCATAAAAATAAATGTGAGATACATGTTAGTCACAATTCTTTTTACCACAGCTTTTCACTAAAAATGATGTCCTCGTATTCTTGCAGAAGCACTGTATTTTTCAATTACAGCATGTGGCATGCTCCATTGATTGGCACTCAGAAGTCTGTCCTGTCCTTGTCCTTCAGGCAGAACTAAGTGTCAGTCACAGGCAGTAAGCAGAAAACCAGTGTGGGATTTCAAAGCTGCCATAGAAATAATCTTGTGGCAACCTTCTCTCTCTCCTCCCAGTAAAAAATAGAAGAGAAAGGAGACACTGGGGGATAAGAGGATTGAAAATTAGGTTCTGGTCTTCTTTATTGATTGATACACTGGGGTTAGCTCCTATCTTAGTTAGAAGCATGCTGCATATCATGATGCTACTTGCAAAAAGCCTCCGCATGTATTTCAGTCACTTTCGTTGTCACTATAGCATCTGCCACTAAAACTGTAAAAGGTAGAGCTTCAGTTGAATCAAATGCTTAGAAATGCAGTTTCCTATGCTGGTATAAACAAAACAGCTCAGCTTGTTTTCCTCCCACCTTACTTCTCCTTCAAAAATACCCAAAGGTGTTGGTTTGCTTTATAAACTAATGACCTGCAAAAATTCCACTTAAAGCACAAGGCCCTTTAGCATCGTAACAGTGCAAAATATTTTATAAAATACCACATTCTTAGTTTCTTAATTTTGCATTTGAAAAATAGTCATTTGGATTTAATATTTTTTTTAAAGTAACTGTGATAGCTTAATAAGACTATCTGCTAATAGGCTCCAGAAATTTTCACTTTTACATATGAATTCAGATATTTACTGTGGGGATATATATTTGTGATTACTGTCAAGCAAAATCTGACCATTTTCAGATTGCCTTTCTGAATTTGGCCTGATAATGGTGTTGATCCACACACTAAATTTTCTACAGTGAGTGTTAATGTCAGAATTTACAGTCCTGCTTAATTGGATATGGAGATAGCTATTTGTATACACAAATAACCAAGCCCATTCGGTTGTGTGTGCAAATATATATCTCTTTAAAAAAAAATTCCTTGAAAAACATCAACATCTGATAGATTTTTTTGACTGTCATAACATTGGAAATAGAAGACACATATAACATTGAATCCCACTGATTTCGTAGGGTACCATATTTATCTAAGGTGATTTTCACTTGTGCATGAGTTTGTATTAGCTCTCTAGTTGGGATTGCAAGGATATTTTCATCAGGAGTTTCTACATTATTCTTGAAAGCATCTCATAAGAATCTGATTTCCTAACTAATGTTTATTTTTTCTTCATTAGTTAAATTTACATACAGCAAAACTGAGAAGAATATACCCAAGCATCCTTGACTGTTCTGGCCTATCTAAAAAGAACTGTTTTGAGGCTATAAATTTCAGCCTGGAGTAACAACGTATGAGCACATTAGGGTCTTCTGCTGACAGAATAGTTCCACTCTTGTAAATATGGGAAACAGTATGAATGAATTTTTACATTCCTGACTTTCATTGGCTTTCTAAGGATAGCTAATATCCTAATCAAGAAAATTGCATTTTTAGGATGTTGTCTTTTTGTATCTGAATGTGTGGTACTACCTTTGGCTACCCCTATTCTTCCTTGTGTTATTTGAAAAGTTATTCTCTTAGCTCAAATAGAACAAGATTCAGAGTCAAAATAAGGTCCTTCTAAATTCAGTGTAATTCATTTAGTGATATGTGCATGGTTTAAACAGCACACAGGTATGCTATAACTTAATTGGACCATTAAATTGTATCTTTGGTACAGGAATTTAATCTACCTGATTTTAGTATTCCTAAAAACCCCAATGATTCTGTTTTTTAAAGTGTGCTTGGTACTGTGACAGACTGAGAGTTCATAGACTAATTGACAAGTAAATCTTACAGTAAGGCTTTTACCTCACTTCTACCAGATACAATGGGACATTGACAAAAATACTTCAATGTCATTTTAAAATTCTGAGCTCAACATTTAAAACATAGGTACTCCAACAGAACATAACTTATATATCTTAAATGCCTTACATTTAAAAACTATGGGAGCACTCCCTCCATAATTGGAATTTTTTTTAACCCTTTTAATTGATTCTCTAATGGATGGACACTCAAGGGCTAGGTTAAGATTCTAGTAAGTCTTTTAGTTTTCTTACTTATACCATCCAAAGTGTGTTTTTTTGTTAAAAGGATAACATTAGGTCATGCAGAGAGAAAATTAAGCCAGAAAAAAAGCCCAGCTAGAACTCAGTCTGGTCACAGCTGTAAGGGATAACAAAAAAGGTTTTAACAAATATATTAACAACAAAAAGAGAGGCAAGGAGAATCTCCATCCTTTATTGGATGCAGGGGGGAACATTGTCACCAAGGATGAGGAAAAGGCTGAGGTACTTAATGCCGCCTTTGCCTCAGTCTTTAATAGCCAGACAGTTATCCTCAGCTCCCACGTATATTCAGCTCCCTGAGCTGGAAGACAGGCATGGATTGCAGAATAAACTCCCCATACTCCAGGATGAAGCAGTTAAGGACCTGCTATGCCACCTGGACACCCACAAGTCTATGGGGCCTGATGGGATCCACTAAAGAGTACAGAGGGAGCTGGTAGTGGAGCTTGCCAAGCCATTGTCCATCATTTATCAGCAGTCCTGGTTAGCAGGGGAAGTCCCAGTCGACTGGAGGCTTGCCAATGTGACACCCATCTACAAGAAGGGCCAGAAAGAGGATCCGGGGAACTACACGCCTGTCAGCCTGACCTCGGTACTAGGGAAAATTATGGAGAGGTTCATCTGGAGGACACTCACAGGGCATGTGCAGGACAACCAAGGGACCAGGCCCAGCCAGCATGGGTTCATGAAAGGCAGGTCCTGCGTGACCAACCTGATCTCCTTCTATGACCAGGTGACCTGTCTAGTGGATGAGGGAAAGGCTGTGGATGTTGTCTATGTGGACTTCAGTAAAGCCTTTGACAGCATCTCCCACAGCATTCTCCTGGATAAAATGGCGGCTCGTGGCTTAGACAGGTGCATTCTTTGCTGGGTAAAGAACTGGCTGGATGGCCGAGCTCAGAGAGTTGTGGTGAACGGCATTAAATCCAGTTGGCAGCGGGTCACAAGCGGTGTTCCCCAGGGCTCAGTTTTGGGCCTGATCTTAATATCTTCATCGATGACCTGGATAAAGGGAGTTGAGTACTCCCTCAATAAGCTTGCAGATGACAACAAGTTGGGTGGGAGTGTTGATCTGCTCGAGGGCAGGAAGGGTCTGCAGAGGGATCTGGACAGGCTGGATCCCTAAATCAATAGGCTGGTTGAGGTCGTTTTTATGAGGTTTAACAACGCCAATTGCTGGGTCCTGCACTTCAGTCACAACAACCCCATGCAACGCTCCAGGCTTGGGGAGGAGTGGCTGGAGAGCTGCCTGGCAGAAAAGGACCTAGGGTTGCTGGTTGACAGCCAGCTGAATATGAGCCAGCAGTGTGCCCAGGTGGCCAAGGCTGCCAACAGCGTCCTGGCCTGTATCAGAAATAGTGTGGCCAGTAGGAGTAGGGAAGTGATTGTACCCCTGTACTCAGCACTGGTGAGGCTGCAGCTTGAATCCTGTGTTCAGTTTTGGGCCCCTCACTACAAGAAGGATGCTGAGGTGCTGGAGTGTGTCCAGAGAAGGGCAGTGAAGCTGGTGAGGGGTCTGGAGAGCAAGTCTTATGAGGAGCAGCTGAGGGAACTGGGCTTGTTCAGTCTGGAGAAGAGGAAGCTGAGGGGAGACCTCATTGCTCTCTACAACTACCTGAAAGGGGACTGTGGTGAGGTGGGTGTTGGTCTCTTCTCACATACAAGTATGGATGGAACAAGAGGAAATGGCCTCAAGTTGCGCCAGGGGAGTTTTAGACTAGATATTAGGAAAATGTCTTTACTGAAAGAGTGGTCAAGCATTGGGACAGGCTGCCCAGGGAGGTGGTGGAGTCACAATCACTTGGAAGTGTTCAAATAATGTGTGGATGTGGCACTTCAGGACATGGTTTAGTGGGCATGGTGGTGTGGGGTTGATGGTTGGACTTGATGATCTTAAGGTCTTTTCCAGCCTTAATGATTCTGTGATTAACAAGATGAATAGGTAGGTGAAAGGGCTGGTGAACCCAGGGGAATATAATTTCCTAATTAGAGAACAGGTCCGAAGAGGTAAAATTTTTCATGCTCACTGTAAAGCTTTGCAGAAGTTTTCAGCATCTGGAAAAAAATGACCACCTCTTGTGCAAATTCAAAGAAAGATATTGGTAAGAGGAATAATTTTATTAGTGATTTATTTTAATACATTGTGCTACTCTTAGAGTCACTGAA